TAGCTCTGGGGGCTAGTCTTGTTGCAAACCTTTGCACTTTCTCTAATTTCTTGACGTGCTTGACTAGGTGTGGATTCCAAATGGTGCTGCATACTCCAGTAGGGCCTGACGTAGATGGTGTACAGAGTCTTAAACGAATCCTTACTGAGGTATCGGAACGCTATCCGTAGGTTTGCCAGGCGCCCGTATGCTGCAGCAGTTATCTGATTGATGTGCCCCCTCAGGAGATATGCTCGGTGTTATACTCCCCCAGATCTTTTTCCTTTAGTGAGGTTTGCAGTCTTTAGCCATCTAAACTTATTGTGTCTGCGGATTGGTTTTTTCCAATACAGTGTTACAGAAGTGTCAAGTTTTCCCCAGTTGACAGCTTGACCACTTTGGGTGACCGTCAGGGCCCTTTTCCGCTTGCCCTTGGGGGGGGAAAGGGGGGAGGGGGGTGGGGGGAGGGGGAAAATGGGGGGGGTTGGGGAGGAGGGGGAAGCTGGGGGGTGGTGGGGAGGAGGGGGAAAGGTGGGGGGTGGTGGGGAGGAGGGGAGGTGGGGGGGGTGGGGAGGAGGGGGGGCTGGGGGGTGGTGGGGGGGGGGGAGGGTGGTGGGGAAAGGGGGGGGGTGGGGAAAGGGGGGGGAGGCGGGGGGGATGGGGGGGGAGGAGGGGGAGGCTTGGAGGGTGGTGGGGGGGAAGGGGGACTGGGGAAAGGGGGGGTGGGGGGGAGGGGGAAGTGGGGGTGGTGGGGAAAGGAAAGGGGGGGGCGGGGGGGGTGGGGGGAGGAGGGGGGGGTGGGAGGGTTTGGGGGGGGAGGAGGGGGAGGTGGGGGTTGGGGGGGGGAGGGGGGGGGGGAGGCGGGGAGGGTTTGGGGGGGAGGAGGGGGGGGCCCGGGAGGGTGGTTAGGGGGGGGTGGTGGGGGGGAGGGGGGGGGGGGAGGGAAGGTCGGGGGGAGGGGGAGGCGGGGGGGGTGGTGGGGTTTGGGGGGGGAGGCTTTGGGGGGTTGGTTGGGGGGGTGGGGGGGAGGGGGGGGGCGGGGGGTCGGGGGGAGGGGGGAGGCTGGGAGGGTTTGGGGGGGAGGAGGGGGAGGCTGGGGGGGGGTGGGAAAAAGGGGAGGGGTGGGAGGGTGGTGGGAGGAAAGGGGGGGGCTGGGGGTGGGGGGGGAGGAGGGGGGGGCGGGGAGGGGGGGTGGGGGGGGAGGGGGAGGCTGGGAGGGTGGTGGGGAGGGTGGTGTTGAGGTGGGGGGGGGGGGGGGGAGGCGGAGGGGGGAGGTGGGAGGAGGGGAAGGTTTGGGGGGGGGTGGGGAAGGGGGGGGAGGGGGGGGAGGCGGGGAGGGAGGTGGAGAGGGGGGGGGGAGGCGGGGGGGGTGGTGGGGGGGGAGGGGGAGGCTGGGAGGATGGGGGGAGGGGGGGGGAGGCTGGGGTGGTGGTGGGGAGGAGGGGGAGGCGGGGGTGGTGGGGAGGGAGGGGGAGGCGGGGGGGGGGTGGGGAGGGGGGGGGGAGGTGGGAGGGTGGTGGGGGGGAAAGGGGGGAGGCTGGGAGGGTGGTGGGAGGGGGGGGGTGGTGGGGAGGTGGGGGGAGGGGGAGGGGGGGGAGGGAGGTGGGGAGGAGGGGGGGGGGGGAGGGTGGTGGGGGAGGGGTGGGGGGTGGGGGGAGGAGGGGGAGGCTGGGATTTTGGGGGGGGGGGTGGGGGGGGGTGGGGGGAGGAAAAAAGGGGGGAGGTGGGGGGGGTGGAGGGGGGTGGGGAGGAAGGGGGAGGCCGGGGGGGGGTGGTGGGCGAGGAGGGGGGGGGCTGGGGGGGGTGGGGGGAAGGGGGGGGGGTGGGGGGGAGGAGGGGGAGGCGGGGGGGGTGGTGGGGGGAGGGGGAGGCGGGGGGGGTGGTGGGGGGGGAAAGGGGGAGGCTGGGGGGTGGTGGGGGGGGGGGAGGGGGGGGGGGGGGAAAGGGGGGGGGGGTTGGGGGGGGGAGGAGGGGGAGGCCGGGGGGGGGTGGGGGGGGGGGGGGAGGCGGGGAAAGGGGGGTTTGGGGAGGAGGGGGGGGGGGGGGAGGAGGGGGAAAGGGGGGGAGGGTGGTTGGGGGGGGGGGGGGGGGGCGGGGAGGGTGGTGGGGAAAGGCGGGGGGCGGGGGGGGTGGGGGGAGGGGGGGTGGGGGGGGGGGGGGAGGCGGGGGGGGGTGGTGGGGGTCGGGGAGGGTGGTGGGGAGGCGGGGAAGGGGGGGGGAAAGGGGGGGGGGGGGGTGGTGGGGGGGGGGAGGGTGGAAGGGGGGCGGGGGGGTGGTGGGAGGCGGGGGCGGGGGGGTGGGGGGGGAAGGGGGGGGGGGGAGGGTGGTGGGGAGGCGGGGGGGCGGGGGGGTGGGGGGGGGGGTGGGGTGGGGGGGGGAGGCGGGGAGGGGGGGGGGAGGGGGGGGGGAGGGGGGGGGGGGTGGGAAGGGGGGGAGGGGGGGGAGGGGGGGGGGGGGGAGGGTGGTGGGGGGGTGGGGCGAGGAGGGGGGGGGGGAGGGAAAAGGGGGGGGGTTGGGGGGG